AGTTACAGAAGGTAGTTTTGTGAATTCCATACCTCTTAATTGCTATAACCTTTAAATGTTATCAGAGACCATCTCTGAAAGGTTAAAGCAGCCCAGAATGGCAATCTGCCCTCAAAAACAACTGTAGACTAATAGAATATAGAATATAGCATAGAATTTTATAGCATCATTAGTTGTCCAGTGTGGTTAGGGAATGTTTAGGCAAGTTAAAGCTTTCAGATAATTTAGCTCTTTTTGATGATAATCTTCCAAAACATATGATGATGTACTTCCTCAGTTAATAGAGTAACATTAATTAGAATGTAATATTTTTGCTGATCAGTTAAATGGTACGGTAGTTGTAGTCTATGAGATGTTAAATTAAAAGGATACTCAGTGTAGGAAAATACAGTTCAGAAAATTATTTACTTGTTCCTAATACAAATTAGTGACACGTAACTCTGAACCTATAGGACAGCATGACATTGCTGCCTTCTGCAAAATTATTGATTCAGAAGATTGTAGTAGTGTTTTCTTTAGTGGATTTTCTTCATAAAACCATCTTTACTGTGATCTGTGTTCCTTGTCATCCACATTGAGAGCATTTTCTTTTAATTTTCTTTCATTAACATAATGAACCATATTTATCTCTTGGTCACTTGTAAGCCATTCTTCTGTTCCACTTGGATTGTTCATTTTAAGTGAAGGAGGCATAGCCTTTAATATACAAGCACACTTTTTTTAAAAATAATAATGGGGTATTTTTAGAATTTGTAAATTCTTTAATAGTATAAGGAATTTTAGCAAACACAAGGTTGAACAGTAGTTAAACAAGGTTAAACAGAGCTTTAGTAAATATTTGATTTAATCAGAGGTCCAGGCATATCAGAACACTGAAACCTTCATTAACAACCACGTAGTGAATCCATTTTAAAAACAAAACTATAACTTATTTTGCTTTTCGAATTCTGAATATTTCTATCTACAGAACAGCCCAGAAAACAATAATAGTATCACTTCATGTAACCCTGCATTGTCCTTGGATTCTCTACAGTTGTTTAGCTTTCCTTAAGAAAGCCTTAAAGATTCTTAGACATTCTTTGACTTTGGTTAAAAAAAATTGAAACCAAAGAAAAATCATTTTCGTCTATCACTGCATAAGCTCTATAAGCAGCAAGTAAATGCTTTGATTTGATTTGGGTAAAATGTCATATAAGCATAAATAGTAGAGAGCTGCATGTTCAAGATGGGTAGCAGGAACTCAAGATCAAGTAGGTTATCATGGATCAGGGTCAGGTTTAGTGAGTAAGGTAGTGTTCAGTACCAGGGGGTTCATACAAACATTCAAGTTTGAAGCTGCTAAGCGTTTAAGCAACCAGTGGGGTTGCAAAGATAGGCAGATACTCCTCAACAATGGAATCCCAGGAAAGTGATTGAAATGGACTTAATCCTAAAAGCCCGAGGCTGTTAGTATAGTGCTTAAGAAAACAAGCGATTCTGCTACCCAACTTAATCAGATTACTAAGAAATTTTAGACTAAGAAAATGAAAAAAGTTGGAACATTTTGCTAGAGAAAGAATGAGGGAGCAAGAGAGAGGGTAAGTTTCTGATGGGAATCCTATGGATTCGGTACCTACAGAAAAGTCATTCTGTCCTTTTTGGTTTAAGTTCTCATGCGCTGGCATCAATTTTGTAAGATTATTGATGCTATCGAGAAAAGTAGTTGGTGAAAACTCTGAAATTGGCTACAGCTTCATGTTTTTGTTTTAACTGAATAACTTATGACTTTGAAAAGTCAGAGCCATCATAAAATAACATGTAGAGCTCAGTCAACTGAAGAAATGTCATATTTTGCTGTTTAACATGAGCTAGAGAAATAGGTCTATAACACTTTTTTCAGAAAAAAACCCACACTAGATATTGATCCATACGTTCTAATTTAGTTGTGAACCATCTGCAATCATGTTTGACCTGTGTGATTCAACATGAAAAGAATTTAACCAGCTGCCCTTGCTGAGTCTTTTGTCCTGTCTCCTCCTGAATGCATGGTAAATTGTTTTGTTTTTATCTTCTTGAGACCTCAGTTTTCTACAGACCTCAGTTTTTTCTTTCAGAGTTAAACTTTCCAAAGCTTTGCCTTTCAATAAAATAGGTTATGTTTTTTTGGATAGTATCTACTGTATACCTAGCTGTTTAGCTGCTTCTGAATTCTGTAAACTATTAGTTTATACAATACCCTTTTCAGTTACTTGAGGGTATGTTTTAGATCAGGGCTGGCATGATGGCCCACCTGCTTTTGGTAAATAAAGTTTTATTGGAATACAGCTATGCCCATTTGTGTACATATTGTCTATGGCCTCTCTGCCTTAAAACAGCAGAGTTGAGTAGTTGCAACACAGAAATATGACTGGCAAGCTTAAAATGTTTGCTGTTTGGCTCTAGACCAGTGGGTCTCGAAGTGTGACCCCCAGACCAGCAACCTTAGCATCACCTGGGAAATTGTTAGAAATATAAATTATTAAAAAAAAAAAAAAAGTAAATTCTTTGGCCTACCCCAGGCCTACAGAAATTCTGGGGATGGGGCAGCAATCTGTGTTTTAAGAAGCCGCCTACATGACTTTGATACACATTAAAAGTCACCCCCAGAAATTTGATTAAAATTTTTTTAAAAGTTTGTGAAGCCTTGTTCTAGATGCTTCCCAAGTGTTAGCCACACTTATCACCTTTAGTATTTTTTACCATTTCTATTTAATATTTATTCTTTATGTCAACTCGCTTTCTAAAAATTTAAGTTAATTTTAAAATGAAAGTTTGTGTCCCCAGAAAAATAAGTATAATGAAAACAACATGGTGTTATAACAGAACTTACCCTATGCTAAAAATCAGAACTTGTTAGATGTATTAAACACATACCAAGCGCCAAATGGAAACTTTTTTCTTGACTTATAATAAATAATCACCATTAAGGGATTGAGCGGTGTTTAAAATGTCATGTTGGTGAAATCAAATAACATCTAAGATCATCCTTTGTGCAAATCCCATACTTGAAAAATACTGTACTGGTTATTCATGTGAAAGGAAAGCTGCTTGAACTGTATATACCAAAGCCCCAAAGTAGAAATGACTGGCCAGAAATACACACCTGTGAGATGGAGAGGTCCCTAGAGAGGTTCAACTAGACTTCTAGAGTGCACTTACCCCTTAGCTTGATTTCTCACCTCTCCACTAGTGATTTAGCCTTGGTGGTAGCAGTTCTGGAGGATTTCACCAGCCTGTTCCATAGTAGGACTGTGAAAAGGTGCCTGGTTGTGAGAAAAGCTGCGTGTCAGAGATAACCCCTGGACTAGAAACTGTGGAAACTGATTGTGATTCTACTTTATGGACCAGGAACAGCAGGGCATGCTTGCTAGAAAAACAGTTGATCCACCTCAGATTCTAGAAACCATATATTTGTATTTTGAGAACTTCCCGTGTTATTTAATTTGCCTCATAGTATTAAAGGGAATACTTTCCCATACATGGCCTTCTGTCTATTTATTGGCTGATGTGCTTTAGGATATAGTAATTACTAATAGAATAGAATGTTAACTTTCCTGAACATCCCCAGGTTGTTGAGTTGCTTTAGTTATTTTTTCCTTTTCTTAGAGAGTATGGACATATTTATTTCTCTTGTCTTTTGATGGTGCAATAAAGTGACATAGGACTCCAATCCTAAAGGGACTGAAAGTCTAGTGGGGAGTGAAGAATTTACTCATGAACAGTTGTGTTTACTTTTAAGTGATGAATTCTGTGGTACTGATTATAGATGTCTAATTTTGAAAAAAAAAGTTTAAGAAATACAAAGACAATCAGACACCTATAAGAATGAACAAATGTTATTTTGTGTATTTCCCTCAATTAAAAAACAAGTATTCCAAATGAAGTCCCTTATGCTCCCCTAGCCCGCCTCAGACCTTTCCCCAGAGGCAGTCCTTGTGAGTTTGGTGTGGATTCAGTGTGACACAGTCTTTCTGCTGTGGTGTTTCAGTAATTGTAAGGCTCAGTCTCCTTCATGGTGATCTCTGTTTCTCATTTTAACTTCCTCATTGAGTTGTCTGTCACTCCTGTCCTTTGCTATTCTCATTTCTTTTTCCTTTTTATTTTTTCATTGACTTTAGATTTGGGGAGCCTTTGCTTAGCCTTTGTAGCTGTCACCAACCAATGAGAACTTGTCTTTTTAATAGATAACCAGTCAATCACTTTTTGTTTGGTTCTTTTCAGCTGTTTCTTCATAGCCAGAGATAGCTTTCGTTACTTCTAATTTTGTGTATAGAAAGTTCTGGATGATAGAAGGTACCAGATATCCAGAGTACCAATGTTATTGTATTAGAATTGCAGCTCTGCAAGTAAGTATCAAAATATAAAATTTAGCAGGCTGCAACTTTTTAATGGACTAACTTTCCTTTATGACATATATCCATAAAACAAATTCTATATATAATTAATCCACTTTTAGAACTTAATTTTTAGGTAACTAATTATTCAAGCTTTTCTAATGTATTTCTTAAATCGAAGAGGGCAAATACATTGATAGATTTCCTAAAGCATGTATTCCCCCAGAAATGTGATGGCCTAGAGTGGCCAAGAAGCTTTACTTGTGTATGAGAGAAGATAGGTTGTGGCAAGGGGTGGAATAGAGCCATTGCAGTGTAGCTACTTTAGTATCTGTTCTCACATTTCCATTGCCATTCTGTTAGCTCTTAAAGACCCCATAAGGTTTTTCTCCTTCTACGTCTCGTTCCTTATGATTTTGTTACATGGATTTTCATAGACAAGTAGGCTGGTAGATTTTGAAAAATTACTTTAGCATTATTAATCTTTAATCATATTCAGCAAAAGTTCTGGAAATTTCTTTTGCAATGGGCATTGCATTTTTAAAATGTTGGGCTTGTCATGCAGATTTTGGTGGGGGTGTTAATTAGTATCTATTTTAATAATAAATCTATAGAACCTATAAAGTATTAAGAGTGATAGCTTTACTGAACTGTATAGTACCCTTATTTTTGCACTTTCTGGGGGAAAGAAAAGCTGCTACTGTAGTATGATTTTATAAGTTCTGTTAGAAAGAAGTGACTTGATAATTACATTTGTAAGGGAGAATGCCATAACTGGTTTTTCCCACTGTTATTTTTGGCTGAGTACACTTCCCTTTCCTTATGTAATGAATATATTCCTGAAAAGTTTGACATGTATCAAGTTATTTTAAATGTTTTCAAAGTATATATAATCCTATTATGTTAAGACATGGTAGTGAGTTCTTTTATAAATAAATCCTATACTTCGAACTGTATAAATATGCAGTGAATTAACTAAGTGTATTATGGGAAAATGGAGTAATGAGTTGTTTTTTTTTAAAGGTTAATTACTAAAGGGTTCCTATAGGTGAGTTTTAGACTGAATTCTAAAGGAACAACAAAGGTAGGTGAGAGAAGTTAGTAGAGTTGGTGAGGACTTTGAGGAGGGTGTAAAAGTGATCAAATTGGTTTTTTAGTATAATAGTCCCTGTGCAGCAACAGTCACTTGCCTTTACCCTGGTTCCACATGAAGACATAAGGGTTTACTAGTTAGCACAGGACAGGGCAGGTCTCTTTCTGCCCTGTACTAGACTAGAAATAAGCCATGGGTCTTTCTTTATATAGTTCCCACCTAATTTTGTGGACTCAGTAGCTTATATTGTAAGAAATGGTATTAAGAGGGTGGAACATTTCTCTGCATTTGAGGATTCAGGGGCACTGGGATATGAGAAGCTTTAAGCATTCAGTTATACCCATCTTTTTCTAGCTCTGACTTTCCTTTCATTGAAGACGTGTGGTTGTTTTTTTTTTTTAGAGGGACTGTGCCTACCCTGTCCCTAGCCAACAGTGACATGTGGCCCACAAGTGTACGTGTGGGGACAGCTTTGATTGTCATGTTGGAGAATATGGGAGGGCTTTCCCTCTCCTGGCCCCATTTATAAACTAGGGGTAGCTTCCATTTGCTTTGTGTGCTGTTGAGTTTTCTCCTCTCTGTTTGGAGTTTTTTCCTCTCTGTTTTTCCTAAGCTAAGCTGTAAGCTAATTCTGTACAAAAGAAATACTAATTAGTTGTTTTTATAAATTGCTTGCCATTGATGCCTGATAATATGCAGTAAAATAAGGATTCTACATACCATTATATATGTCAACTATTACAAACTTTAAGGTTCTTTTGGAATTATAATACTAAACTCAGTTCACTTTTGCTTAGCCTTCACAGTTGTTGATCACATAGCATGGTCATCCACTCACAGCTTTAAAAAATACAGGGAGCATCGGAGAGAATGGGTAAAGTAAAATTTTGATGTTTTTTAAAATAGCACCTAAACCTGTGAAAGTTGATTTGAATTTTTACTTGTATGGGAGGGAGAGGGCGGGTGGCACTGGAGGGGAGGGGGTGGAAATTGGGAACATAGCATGCACCATGTAAAATTATGTCAGATACCACCTAGGCTACGTTTTAAGTGTTACTACAATTTAAGTCTAAGTCAGTTTCAGAAAAGACAGGACCATAAAATGGCAGTGTTGGGATTTACTACTGTGGGCTTATTTTTCCCTCTCAACAGATTGAAGGGGATTTTGAAAATAGCAGTATTTGGGTATAGTTTGGCCAGGAACCTTCTTTTTAGAGTGGTCTTTCATATTCCCTGAGTGAAACTGCCTCAGTACCAACTTAGGCTCTGTGACATTGCTGAAAGATCAGGAAAGAGACAAAAAATATGCATTATAGTTCTTATTGTATATCTGTGACTCAGGTGTTCCCAAATATAGGTTATAATTCATGAAACTTGTGAAGGGGTTGAACAAAAGACAGGTTAAGAGAGTTGTTACTCTGAAGTTAGTGGCTTGGTAGGAAATATTAATAGAAATTTTAATGCTTTCAAATGAACACTTTGCCAAAGTTCTAAATTAAGTTTCTAACTCTGAAGACTTGGCATTGTAGTTAGACACAGTCTAATGAAATTATTATGGAGGGTTATAGGGCAGAGAGACATCGTTGTTTTTATGGGTAGGACATTTTGTTGTTGTTAACTCAAATAACTTGGCCTAATTTTCACCCCATTATTTTTAAACTTTTTTTTTTTACTTTGTTTACACACTAAAAACCTGGATTGAAGAAAAAATGAAAAAGTTATTAAAGAAATCAGATTTTACCCCAAAAATATTCTGGCCTCAACTTGGCTATTCCCCTACAGGAAGCCATTTGCCAAAGCCAAATATGATTTACTTATTATTCCCCAAACCTTCTGCCTCTGTAAGCTTTGTCAAAGATATTACTCCAATTATTCCAATTTGGAATACTCTTCTTTCTTTTGGTCTCAGTCCTATCTGTCCTTCAAAATTTGGCTTCTACGTCTTACTTTGAAGCCTTTTCTAACCTCTCCAGCCCTTGGTAGTCATTCTAGTCTTAGAATTCCTGAAGTGCTACTATTTCAAACATTCATTTGGCACTTGGATCATGCTACCTGATATTATTTATTACTTGTTACTTCATTTGAATGTCCTGTTTCTGTAGCAAAATCATGAGCTCTTTATAGCGTAGAGCTTGTCTTCTATACCTCTTTGTAACCCCATTGCCTAGCACAGAAGATGTGTTCACTAATAGGTTTGATTCTATCATTTGAATCCAATGTTAGTGTAACAGGGCAATTGTTTTTTCCTTGTTATTTTTATATGACTTTACATCCAGAAAACCCAAAGATAAGTACACTGAATTCATAAAATAATTCTTTGTATTATAAGGAGATTTGGTTTATATTTGCTCCCTATTAATTGTTGTGTCCCCCCACCTTTTTTTTTTTTTTTTTTTTTTTTACAAATGGGTACTGTTTTACCTAGTTTCTTTTGAAAAACATGGTTTGGGCCAGATGTCTTGAAAGAAACCAAAATTACCAGTATTTTTATTTTAAAATTCTTTGTTGGTTTAGCCAAATTATACGTTTATGGCGTAAGCCCAAATTTATTAAATACTACGTGGAATGGTAATGTAGCCAAATTACTTGAAATGTTAAAATCTCGTAAGTAAAACTTTAAAAATATCAATAAACAGATACTCAGTTACTACTCTCTCAGGGTATTTCTGTATCTCAAATTAAGAGCTTTATTATTTCACTATTTTAAAAGTTTCTATAATATATAGGCTGATATTTGATAGCTGTGTATATTGTTTACTGCAGTTATCAAATGTGTAGAGAGCCACCACTTATGTGCAGTGAGAACTTGTTTTAAAATGCGTTCTGGCACTTACAGAAACTGATTTTTTTAAAGCTCGTCAGGGATAATGTTTGCTGAATTCATATTTGGAATTGTTCATATTTTATCTGACAGTGTGTCTTCAGGGCACATGTATCTTAATATTAGATTTAATGGGATTCCTGAAACAAAAACAGTCACTCTACTTCATGAAATGTTTGATTAGTAAAATTTCTGTGAATCTTGATCTTATTCTAAGGCCTGACTTATAATCTTGAGCCATTAGTAGTTTGACAAAACACTGAAACGATACTGGTGTGGCATTACTGAAAAGCTTAGGTACTTGTAGCAGGGAAATCCCTAGATATGGAAGATTTTTTTTTTCTCTACTTAAATAATTTATATTATCTTTAAATTTCTTAGTATAATTTGGATACAGATTTAAAATAAAACTTTTTTTTTTTACATGTTAGGAAGCAAAAAGCCTCTAATATAGCATTGTCATTCTGGTGTGAGCTTATCATAATACCTACCATTATAACATGAGTTTAAGGCCCTCATCAAAGTCTCAATGAAATATATATTTTTAAAAATTCATTTTTAAAACCTCAGTTGGCCCAAGAACCACTATTCCAGAGCTCTAGCCTTGGACTTTTACCTCTGGTCAGTCATATTCTTTTCGAGTTAACACATTAAGTCAATAGTTAAAAAACTAAAACACCCTGATTTTGTTCACTTTTGTTTTCATATACAAGAATCTTTACAGTCAACATGTACTTCTAGATGCTGTATTGAAATTGCTGGCAGAGTCTATTCCATACAAACTGAACAATCTGGCCCCTTGTTTTATTTGTAAAGGTTCAATGTATCTATGCCTGCCTACTTCAATCTGCAAGGGAGTGTCAGAAAGGCCCCGCATTCGCCGAGCCGTGAGTTACTGCTAACTTTTCAGATGTGTTAATGAATGTGGAACAAAAGCAGTTGTGTTTAAAAGGAAAAAAGGATCATCAAAATAACCTTTATTATAGTAGCAGGCGTGAACACTAAATGAATTATTCCAAATTGTGGTGTCAAAAATAACCTACTTAGAGACTAGTCTCTAGAAAACCTATTGTTGAACTGCTCTGAAGCTATCATTTTAGCTCCAAATCACTTTAAAATTTTTTTTATATACCCTGGTTGCAAATCAGAATGTTCTTTAATTCTGTTTAACCAAGTTAAAACAATTTGAACAAAATCTTACCCCACCTAAAAATGACAGTATTTAGTTGAGTTTGAGTTAAGCTCTTCAAAATGAGACCATGTTAAAGGGGTAAAGTTCTTAACCTTTCTGTAATTCACATGTGAAAATCAAACTAATTCAAATAATTGAATCACTTCCTAGATGAAAGTTCTTGGAGTGCTCCAGGCGTCATGTGAAGTACAGTGGTATTTACAGTCTATTTTTGGTACCAACAGTTCTCGCTTCAGTAATTCACCAGTAGGTTTTCATTCATCAGTGATGATATCAATTTAAGGCTAAAAAAAACCACCTACATTTCTTAGGGCTTATCACTCTACATAGAGGAAACGTCCTTAAGAGTTTTTCCTTTTTTTCCCCAAAGAGATTCTAAGCAAAAAAATTGTAACTAACATCTATATTTTATTATTAGAGCTAGTTACCTTTCTTTTTCTTAGATTCTTTCTTGTTTTGCGTTAGATAGGCACATTTGTTTAGCAGGTTGGATGCTTCTCTTGCTTAGGAGGTGCATTGTGTTATAAAAAGATAGAATGAATTTAAATGTACCATATCTAGCCCAGTTTGGCCATATCTAGCCCAGGCTACATAAAACTTAGAGGGATGGGACCTTTGGAGGCATTACAGTTAACGTTTCATTTAGGCAATGTGCCTTTGTTTGACTGGTGTGTAAGTCCTTCTTCCAGGTTTGTACGCTCTTAAACACGTTATTCTACCCTCTCTAACTCCTCCCAGCAGCAAAAGGGATACACTTCAGCTGGAACAAAATAGTGGAAGAAATGGCGTCTGGGGTTCAGTGGGGATTCGCAGTGTGTATGCAATGTTTGCAAGATTACTTTTTATGTTTTTCAATTAATATAAATAATTATGAAATAAATCAGTGCTTAGTATCAAGTAGGGAACGTTGTAAACCAGTAGAAATTCTCCTAGTGGGTCTGCTACAAGTCGCTTAACCTCTCCAGGCCTCAGTTTCCTCATCTGCAAGGTGAAGGAGTTGGACTCGGTAATCATTATGGTCCATTCCTGCTCTAAATTCTATGCTTTTCTGAATTATTCTTTTTAACAGAATGCATTGCTTTCCCACTTTGACTATTTGAATTACATATGCAGTACACATACTGCAACTGCATGTTGTCTAAAATAGTTTTTCTGTAAGATAATGTATAAAAAACTAATCCCTCTTGAGCTGATTTATAAATGTGTGTGTGTGTAAGCACACATAAAAAGCTAGTGGTAGTAGGTCTCTCAGGAAATAAACATTTTCCAGTTGTTGTCTAACCTTGAGTGTTATTAACTTTCCTATATTACAGGAGATACCACTCGTCAACGAATCAAATTCAGTGATGACAGAGTATGCAAGAGTCACCTTCTCAACTGTTGCCCCCATGATGTCCTCTCTGGGACTGTACGTATTTATTAAATTGATTATTTGATTATGAGCATACTATAAAAATGAAGCACTTGATAAAGTCTTAATTTCTTGTGAAGTTATTATGCAATTTTTTTGAACTGTAGAGGAGGGATTTGCATCCCTTATATTGTGTATTTACTTAAGTTGATTGAAATCCACAAAAATGAGATTCCTCACAAAAGTAGTTGCTATGCCTTGCTTTATAATTTTTTCTGTTGTTCAGAGCAATTAAAAAAATTTCTTATTTGGATTATAGACACAGTTCTGTTATATAGCAGTTGTACTTTTAGTTCAGAAATAATGTAAATGATTTAAAAATAGTTTTATTTACTGTTGAGCAGAGTAAACTTTTTCCAAAACACCATACATTTAAGATGGGTCACATTTACATTGTGGAAATCATTGTAGGGAAAATATGTTAGTAAATACTTAAATTCACACAGCTTAATTTGCCAGTAGTGTTGTCACTTAAAATTCATTTATATTGCTGACTCCTAATAATATAAAGCTCACTTAATTTAGGTGCTGTGTCTAGTGGTGTAGGTTGATCTTAGAATATCATTTTAGTTTGGAAAATAAACCACATGATGATGGACCTACTTAAATGGAACAAAGGATTTGATCCCTTTGGTTTGGATTTGGTTGAAATCATCACCATGCAGGAGCTCCCCTTCATGGGCTGCATATGATGGCAGAGGAGGGCTAGTAGGGGCTAAACGTTTAGCTGACTTTATTTCTCACTTACCAGAAATGATCAAAGTGAAGATTTTCGACTTCCATTTTCAGAAGCATTAAGTTCCTTACTCGTACAGATGTCTAAATTAGTGGTTTCTTCTTGGTAGAAAGAGTTAAATGCCCCAAACAGATAGGTATCAAGGCATATACAATACAGTATAGGAAACACCTCTGACTTTTTCCAGTAGGGAAAACGGTTGAAACAATATTATGTTAAAAAGAAAAAAGAGCCTACATTAAAAATACAATACTATATTTGTAAAAAGTATGCTACTACAAGGGAAGAAACCCTATTTCTGAGCACTTGAATTAGAACTATGACAGATAATTAACCTTCATATCTACTTTCTAGAATTTTCATAATTAAAGTATTTTCCTCTGTGCTATATATATAATACAGTTGAAATCTATAAAATTTGTAATTATCTGTAGTATACTTTGATTCTCTGTATTTAACAGTTCATTTTATTTGATGGCTAAATGATCACTTCAAATAAATTTTGAGAACAAAATTTAACAAAATGGCAGAATTTCGTTTTTTCCTTTTTTTTTGATATTTAAAAACCAGCCATAGCAAGACTTTAACATATTGTTATATTCTTCAGGTTTGGCATTAGTAATGGAACTCTGACGTCACAATTGAGCTTCACATTGTACGATGCAGATAATGCCAGTTATACTCATTTATTTCATAAAACAATTCTATGAGGCGTTATGATTCACAATTAGCCCTAATGATAGTGACTTTTTCAAAATCATTCAGTTGTATTGATTTAAAGTAAAACTGGGACCAAACACAAATTTTCTGAGTTATAGTCTTATTCAATATGTTTTCCATTCTGTAGGGAATACTAACTTTTTTCATCATGTTAAATAAAAATGGTGAGTGATTGGTCTTGGACTTGCCTTGTAAAATTCTTGCTGGTGGGTTTATAAGATGCACATTTTTTCAAATTTTAACATCTCTGAAATACGCATCTCAAAATTGTGGATAGAAAAATGCTATCTGACTTGGTAACATTTTTCTCAAGGTACAGAATTTAATGAGGCTTAAAATTGTTGCTAGATTATACAAGAAACAGTTTAAGATAACCCATCTAAAGGCACTAGCCAGGGAAACTCTAAGAGAAATATCTCCCTTTTATCATTCTAATAGAGAAGAGATTGTCTTATGTCAGGATGGGGTTTAGTAGCTGTGAACCTCTCAAAATTTAATCAGTTTTAAGGACTGGCTATAGGGCTCTTTGAGACTCCAGAGTTGTCATAGAGTGGTATTCTTGAGAACTTAAAACTATCCATTGTGTGACTTTCTCATTACCTGTATTACTGAAAAGGGCTATTTATAACAGTTTATCCTACGTACAAATGGTTTATAATTACAGAGCTGTGACTTCTTTAACAACCGATCTCTGTAGAACAAATACATGCTTTTCTGGCACAGAGTCTTAACAGTTTATACCTCTTTATGTTGAAAATGTCTATTTTTTTTTCTTATTTTTTTTTTACATATTAACGTGAAGGATGAAAAGAACTGAATTCTAACTGTTGATTTTATTATGTTTTTTTGTTGTTACGTAACTAAAAGTTGCCCTTTCGTTTTCATGACCTTGTTCGTCAGATCTGTCACTTTTATCAGATATGAGTCACCCATATGCTATATTATTTAGCAGAATACACAGATGTATTCTTTGGCTTCATTCATTATAAAATGGTTGAACTTATATCTAGCACTTGACAATTAGTATGGAATATTTTTGGAATTGAGTTGGATGAAAATGCCTCTATAACATTTACCTTTTATTAAGGTAGTATAACTAATTTTTTAGCTAATAAATTATTCAGAGGAAGAAAAATGTAGAGCAAAGAATCAAAATAATTGTATATGTATCTTTGGATTATGATTTTTATAAGAAGCATGAATATTAGGAAGCTACTATTTTTCAAAGGTTTGGGTTTCCCTATTCATCTAGAATATTTTCTTGATTTAGCCCCACTCATTTCTTCCTCTTGGCACACTTGATTTCTCCCTGTTCTATTCGTAGAGTAGACAAAAAACCTAGATAGAGTTGTCATTCCCCTCTCCTAACACATATCTGGTACATATCTTCCCTGAGGAAATACAAGTATATTGAAGTACTTAAACAAAAAACCCTTCCATCTAGTTCCTAGTGACCTGGGAAAGAGATATGTGATAGTAATAATTTACAGAAAGCATTAAATCTAAAGCAGAGCTGGTAATAGAAGCTTGAAATTAAGACCTGCAGGGATGGAAATGTATACTCTCATAATGTGCCTGTCCTCAGTTCAGAAATGGCCACTACTAATTTTATTATAGCCTTCATCATAGTATAATTTTAGCATTGACAGGTCATCATTTTATAGATGGGAAAAATTAAAGCTCATAGAAATTGTGCTAGTCAGATGTCACATAATTAAAGAATCATAGTATATTATGCCACTTAGCAATCACAGAGTAATTTAAATACTTTTAAAATGTTAGTGGTGGTTGTTAGTTTTTCAGATAACACAATTACCTAGGGTAGTGACTTTCAGATATTTCTGAAATGTCCTTGGAGGCATCACATGTACTAAGGACATGGGGTTAGGCCAGTGTTTCCTATTTCAACTAGAATTTTGTGCATTTTAAATATAGAAAATTTTGGGAAGTACATGAAATTGCACGAAATTTTGTTTAAAAATGAAACTTGGCTCAGAAATAGAATTTAAATTTAAAGAACTGATATTGAGAAATACTTACGGACAGGGATAAAGTAAAACTTTATCTGCCTTTTTGAAGTGATTGGATGGGAGTTACTGGTTGTAAAAGTTTTGACTGAGCTGTTTTTATGGTGCCCCAATAGGTTCTGGGTTTTATCCAAAGTACAATTTTTACTAATTGAAACTCCTTTATTGCTTCTCTAACTCTTTCTTTTAAGGCCTGGTCTAAAATCAGTTACTTGGGTGCATACAAACCTGAACTTTAAAACTGCTGAAGTCTCTTTGATAGTACATATGTAAAAGAGCCCTGAAAGTATGGAGAAGCAGAATAAGTGATAAGAAGTAAACCTGCACAAAATTTTCTCAACCAGCCACTAGAATGTAAGTTTCATTATAAGGGCAGGGACATTGTTTTGTTCAGTGGTATATCCCCAGCATCTAGAACAGTGTCCCTCTATTGTGTTGAATGAATAATTGATACACCCAAAAGTAGAATGCTAAATAAATCTGTTGCAAAAACTAACTCTGAGTTTCAAAAATTGATAAATTGTTAGAGGGAAACGTGTGTTAACAGATAAGGAGCTGAAGAGTATTTCGGTGTTACTGAGTTGCTTATCAAAATAAGACAGCAGTGGGTTCACATGCATATGTGAAAAATTAGTCTATAGATGTTTTAAACTAAATCTATTCCTCACAAATGGTTTGTTTTGGGTAGCTTTGGTATTTTTTAACGAGCGTTTTTAGCATTAGTTCAGATTACTGACATGATGTATATTTTTTTGTTTTTTGTTTTGATCAGCCAATTTCTAGAGCTTCCCAATTTGCAAAATGCCAGTTAACACAAGTTTTACAAGATTTGGCTTTTGAAGTGTATTATGTTCTTATATTAAGCAGATGTGCTGGTTGTATTTTATTCTTGTCGGTTATTACAAAAATATATATCCTTTAATTATTTCTAGAGACTGCCTAAACCAAAAATATATTTGATGCCTAGGAAATTAGAGGCACATTAAAAACTTCCCAGTGAATAATTAAAACTTTACTGTAAAACTTGAAAAGTCAAGTCATGAATATAATTTGGAGCATTGTTGGCATTGTGGCACATTAATATCCTGAACTATTCAACTTGGAATACATATGTTCTTATGAAATAACCTTTCTCTGTCATTATGAATATTTTTAGTCATTCATTTTGTATACTTAAAATGACATAATATACTTCAGGCTTATAGAGGTGATTTGTTTTTGTTTTTGTTTTTTAAGGTAACCAACCTAGAGACCATGTATTCTAGAATCTTGTACTAGTTTAGTCTGTCTCTTAGTTGAGGCTGGTCAGCATATTTGTCCATTACTTGGATTAGTGGTTAAATACAAATATACATGCATGTATATGATGAATTGTAGTGCTGATGTCCATCTTTATAAATCAAATACAAATTAATTTCACTTAAAAATTTTTATTGTGTAATATAATCTATAATACATTTTATGATTCCCTCATAATCAGTCTGAGGGAAGAATCTTTTTTAACTTCTTTAATA